ATCATATGTGCTATGTAATAGATAATTCTTGCTTAATATTCATGAGGATAATATTCTATTGTACGATTTGTTTTATCGTTCTTTAGTTGTATAGAGGAATATATTTGATTATAATATTCGTGAGGAAAATAAGTTTATGAATTCTTATTTATATGTTTTATGTATTTTTAGGGTATTTTACTTGTTTAATATTTGTGGGGGAAATAGTTGAATGCACGATATACATATGTATATTATGAATATAATCGGGGGGTTTAAAAAAGCTTTTATCTGTCCTGAATTTCTCCCACTTCAACTTCACTGTTATCTCTGGTCCTAATCTTTTGTGGTGGTGGTTTTATAATTTCTATGTGATATTGCTTTATAGTTTTATTTCTTGTGTCAGGGCAGCCAGTCAATTATATTACATTTCTAACAGAACAAAGCAAACGAATAGAGAAAATACAAAATGTGTGAGTTTGGTAGTTGATTAAATGTCCTTTGACCAGTATCTGGCCACTTGGAGTGCCTCTGGTGTTGCTGTAAGAAGGTCCTCCATTGTGCATGTGCCAGGGCTCAGGTTGCATTGCAGCAGGTGGTCTGTGGTTTGCTCCTCTCCGCACTCGCATGTCGAGGATTCCACTTTGTAGCCCCATTTCTGAAGGTTGGCTCTGCATCTCGTGGTGCCAGAGCGCAGTCTGTTCAGCGCCTTCCAAGTTGCCCAGTCCTCTGTGTGCCCAGGGGGGAGTCTCTCATTTGGTATCAGCCATTGGTTGAGGTTCTAGGTTTGAGCCTGCCACTTTTGGACTCTCGCTTGCTGAGGCGTTCCAGCGAGTGTCTTATAGTCATATACCATTTATGTTATATGCTGCACCTTGGAGTACCATTGTAAGCCACTCCGAGTCCCCTTGGGAAAATTGTGGCAGGTTATAAAGAAACTTTATTATTATTATTATTATTATTATTATTATTATTATTATTATTAATACTAATATCTTAAACTGAGTTCAGAAGCAAATAGACAGCCAGTGCAATGAAGGTGATATATTTTAATTGTGAACTTCCATCATCATCATCATCATCATTCGAAAATACTTCTAACTTGGGACTAGGCAATTTAAAGGAAGGGTAAAACAAACTAAAACCATAAAAACAATTAAATAAGGTACCATATCAAAACACCACTAACTTTAAAAAGTATAGAATCATTTTAAATGATATAAAAATTAAGAAAACAATGCAGAAAAATACAGCAAATGGAGTTATCACAATTAGATCCTGAAGTGGGTTTTTGTTGTTGTTGTTTTCACCAGATCTGTATCTTTCACCTGGACAAATTAATTTTTAAAAATACAATTATGCAATTAAAAATAATGATAATAATAAAGAATACACACATACCCCCCAAAGGCTTTTTTTTTTACAATCTATGAAATGGTTACTGCAATCATTGGTTTCCCCTTTCTTGAAAATTGTAAATCATTTTGATTATTTCCAGTATGTGGGCTCTGTTGATATGCTACCTGTTCCTGATGATTTATTTCTCCCAAGTACTCTTACTGCAGCTTCCACTTAATTTTCTAATCATTTTTTCTTGAATGAACCTGCTATCCTTTCATCTCTTTTATATAGTTCTTCAGTGTATTGTTTCCATTTTCTTTTTAGGTATACTTGGTCATGTAAAGTGTCATATAGCATCCCCACTCTTGGTTTAAACATAGTCATCCATGAATGAATTTTTTAAAAAATACTTCAATGGGAAAAAGGCACAAGTAAAATTATGCAAAATAAACGTATATTTTTAATAATTACAGTATATTTTTAATAATTACAGTGGAGCCCCCAGTGGCACAGTGGGTTAAACCCCTGTGCCGGCAGGACTGAAGACCAACAGGTCACAGGTTTGAATCCGGGGAGAGCGTAGATGAGCTCCCTCTGTCAGCTCCATCTCCTCATATGGGGACATGAGAGAAGCCTCCCATAAGGATGGTAACACATCAAAACATCCGGGCATCCCCTGGGCAATGTCCTTGCAGATGGCCAATTCTCTCACACCAGAAGCGACTTGCAGTTTCTCAAGTCACTCCTGACACGACCAAAAATAATAATAATTACAGGGCACACAATCCAGTAGATACTTAATGTAAATGCAGATTGTTATATTTGAGTTTTTAATCATGTGGAAGTTTTATCATCAAGGATGATAATCATGTGGATGTTTTATCATCAAGGATGATAAAACATCCGGGAGTCCCCTGGGCAACGTCCTTGCAGACAGCCAATTCTCTCACACCAGACTTGCAGCCTCTTCAGTCGCTCCTCACACACACGCGCGCGCGCGTGCGCGCGCACACACACACAAAGCTTGTCTGATGATGAGAAGTGGTCCCTTAAACATGAGGCAATCCAACATTTATTTCAAATTAAACATTATTATTTATTTATTTATTTATTTACTGCATTTATTGACCGCCGCTCTCAGCCCTAGGGCGACTCGCGGCGGTGCACAACATATAAAAACAGTTTACAAAAGGGCAAAACAGGAAATCAATACAACAATAATACACTATAATCTAGTTACACTAAATAATCCGCTCCATCACATCATAGAATCATAACCAATATCGTAATCCGTATTCCGTTCCAGTTGTCAATTACCAGTTGCCGTAGCGCTCAGTTGAATGCCTTCTCAAATAGCCAGGTCTTCAGGCTCTTACGGAAGGACAGAAGGGAGGGCGCCTGTCTGATGTCAACAGGGAGATCGTTCCACAGCCGGGGGGCCACCACCGAGAAGGCCCTTTCTCTCGTCCCCGCCAGACGTGCCTGTGAAGCAGGCGGGATCGAGAGAAGGGCCTCCCCAGACGATCTCAAGGTCCTCGTGGGCTCATAGGCCAAGATGCGGTCCGAAAGGTATTTTGGGCCGGAACCGTTCAGGGCTTTGTAGAATAACACCAGCACCTTAAATTGGGCCCGGTAGCAAATCGGCAGCCAGTGGAGCTGGAACAGCAAGGGCGTTGTATGCTCCCTGCGTCCCGCTCCTGTTAGTAACATGGCTGCCGCACGCTGGACTAGCTGAAGCTTCCGGGCCGTCTTTAAGGGCAGCCCCACGTAGAGAGCGTTGCAGTAGTCAAGGCGGGATGTGACCAGAGCGTGTACCACCATGGCCAAGTCAGACTTCCCAAGGTACGGGCGCAGCTGGCGCACGAGCCTAAGCTGTGCAAATGCTCCCCTGGTCACCGCTGAAACCTGGGGATCCAGGCTCAGTGATGAATCCAGGGTCACACCCAAGCTGCGAACCTGCGCCTTCAAGGGGAGTGCGACCCCGTCCAGCACAGGCTGTAACCCTATACCCTGTTCGGCCTTGCGACTGACCAGGAGTACCTCTGTCTTGTCTGGATTTAATTTCAGTTTGTTCGCCCTCATCCAGACCATTACAGCGGCCAGGCACCGGTTCAGGACCTCGACAGCCTCCTTAGTAGCAGGTGGAAAGGAGTGACAGAGTTGGACATCATCTGCGTACAGATGACCCCGCACCCCGAAACTCCGGATGATCTCACCCAGCGGCTTCATGTAGATATTAAACAGCATGGGGGACAGTATAGAGCCCTGTGGAACCCCACAGGTCAAAGGCTGTGGTGTTGAACAGGAGTCCCCCAATAACACCTTCTGGGTGCGGCCCTCCAGAAATGACTGGAGCCACTGCAGAGCAGTGCCCCCAAGACCCATTTCCGCAAGGCGCCCCAGAAGGATACCGTGGTCGACGGTATCGAAGGCCGCTGAGAGGTCCAGGAGCACCAACAGGGACACACTCCCCCTGTCTAGCTCCCGGCGCAGATCATCCACTAAGGCGACCAAGACCGTCTCGGTTCCATGTCCCGGTCTGAAACCAGACTGTGCCGGATCCAGATAATCCGTGTCTCCCAAGAATACCTGGAGTTGTGAGGCCACCACGCTTTCCATGACTTTGCCCAAGAAGGGAAGATTGGAAACAGGCCGAAAGTTGTCCAATTTAGTGGGGTCAGTGATGGTTTCTTCAACAGCGGTTTTATAAAAAAAATTTAATATAGCAATCCGGCATATACATTAAGTATCCACTGGATTATGTGCACTGTAATTACTAAAAATATACATTTATTTCGCAAAGTTTAATTGTACCTTTTTTCCACTGATGTATTAAAAAAAATCATTCATTGATAGCCATATATTCAATGATAGCCTTATAGTTTTGGGACTGCTCTCCTGGTAACCAATATTTTAGACCCAGTGCACCACTGCTCCCATCAGGCCGGTAGCCAGGATTTTGATTCGGGGGGGGGGGGGGGGGGGGGGGGCTGAGTCTGAGTGAAAGAGGGTCTACCCTAGCAAACCTTTTGTATTCGTTACCCCAATACCCCCATGCATATGGGATATATTGAGCATGGTGATCAGATCATGATCAGAATAAACATAACAGTTTAAATAATGCACCAGTAAGGCCTTCTCACGGACCACCATGAGAATTTTGGGGGGGGGGGGGCTGGAAGCCTGGCTTGTGAGGATAGGGGTCCCAATTGCCTTGACAAAGGGGGGCGGTTGTTGAGCGGCCGAGTGGGAATGGGGGGTGGTGGTGTGGGCGGTTTGGGGGCGGGGTGGTCAAATGCCGCCGGGGGGCGTGTATGTGGCAGTTGAAGGGTGTAGGTGGGTGGGGGGCTGGTAGGGAAGGGCTGGGGGGGTTGGCACGTGTGGGTGGCAGGGGGTGGTGGGGGAGAGGCCCGGGGCGAGGTGTGTAGATTGGGGTGGGCGGGGCTGAAGCCTGGCTCCCATGTGTGTATTTGTCTGTGTACCAGCATCTACAACAGGCATGGGCAAATTTAGGCCCTCCTGGTGTTTTGGACTTCAATTCCCACAATTCCTCACAGCCTTGAGCCCTTTCTTGGGCCACCGGGGACTCCTATCACAGGGAAGGTGACACCTGGCCAGCCCGCCCTGCAAGGAACCCAACCTCTTTCCTTGCCTCCCCTTGCCTTGCCTTCCTCCCTGCGCTGCGCCCTCTGGCGGCGACTCCGAGCTCTGCGCGCCCGACCTGAGCCGAGAAAGAAAGGAAGGAAGGGAAGAAGGAAGGCAGGCGCGCAGGCTGGCCAAGGCAAAAAGCTCAGAGGCAGTCGCTCTCGCTCTCCCCCATTCATTGCCATGGAGCGCAAGGTGGCCAGGGAGTTCAGGCACAAGGTAAGAAAGAAGAGGGGCGCCCTCGCCTTTCCCCGCTTGCTTGCTTCTTGCCTGCCAAGGGACCCCCGCGGCTTTGGCTCCTCAGCTTGGAGTCTCTAGCTGTGGGTCGGCTGCGCGGGGGACATTTTGCGGGACTCTGGACTCTGGGTATCAATTAACTCGGCCTTTGCGGGGGGGAGGGGGAGGGGAGGGGGAGGGGAGGAGGGGGCAGGGAAGGAAGCGCTTCTCTCAACGGCAGGGAGCGGCTTTCTCCCCGGCAGGTCAGGCGGCGAGGCGCACCTCCGAGGGAGGCATTGGCCTCGCTCTTGCCACCCACCCATCCACCCATCTTTTCTTTTCTTTTTCCCCCCCGGGCAGGTCGGAATTCGGGTCCACTTTCTCTTAAAGGGCACCTGGATTCCACCTGAGCGCCAAGCAGAGAAAAGGAAGAAGCAAACTTCAAAGTTTTGGAACTTTTGGGAAAGTTTGCTCCCTCAAAAATAATGTTCCCTGTGAGCAATTGTATACAAAAAAGAAAATTTAATAACAATAACAACAATAATAATGAGGATTTAAAGATTGAACTGCAAAGACTCTGGCACAAACCAATAAAGGTGGTCCCAGTGGTGATCGGCACACTAGGTGCAGTGCCTAAAGACCTCGGCCTGCACTTAAACACAATTGGCACTGGCAGAATTACCATCTGCTACCCTACTGGGATCTGCACACATTATTCGCCGATACATCACACAGTCCTAGACACTTGGGAAGTGTCTGACATGTGATCCAATACAGCAGCCCACAGAATGATTTTGTTTGCTGTGGACTCATCTTGTGTTTCAAATAATAATAATAATTCATTTATAGCCCGCTTTCTCTCCCCCAGGGGACTCAAAAACCAAAATAAACACTATCCCTCCTTTCCTCTTTCTCTCTCTCTCTGTCAGGGACCAAGGGACGTTGCAAAGAAGCTTCTATTATATAATAGTTCTTTTGTTTTTGTTTTTAAAAGAAGTGAATCTGAGAGTTGCAAGCCAACAGGGCGAGATGAGGAAGTTTGGACTCAAGGGTATGATACAGGCATATTCTTGCAACATGGTTTGAACCTATTTCTTTTTATCAGTGCCGCAGTCAAATGGAAACTGTCTTTCAGAGGTTCAGTCAGTGGTGCATTAATAATGGGTTTCATTTACAAAAAGCTCCCTTTTCGGTTTCACATCAGAGATAAAAGTTGTTGAGTGTGGAAGGCTGTTCCAGCTTGTTTGAATATGCAAAACCGATCAACATTTGTCTGCACACCTCCTACAGGTTTTCCAGGCTTGTATACCTTATAAAAATTGATCTAATACCTGTTGTTGTTGTTGTTGTTTTTGTGTAACAGGTCCTTCCTGGATTATGGTGCCCCCAAGACTAACCTATGGAGGGGGGGGGGGGGTTCCTTTGAAATATTTGTTCAGAAAGGGTTTGTTTTTGCCTGCCTCTGAAGCTGAGAGAGAGTGACTTCCTCAAAGTCACCCAATGTGGTCACCCAGATGTTTTAACATCCTGTGGGAGGCTTCTCTCATGTTCCCGCATGAGAAGCTGGAGCTCACAGACAGGAGCTCAACCCACTCCCTGGATTCGAACCGCTGACCTTTAGGTCAGCAGTCCTGCCAGCTGGAGGTGTAACCCATTATGCCTCCGGGGGCTCGATTTGCTCCTGATATTAAAAAAACCCAGTGTGGTTTCCATGGGTGACTCAGAATTTGAACTCTGATCTCCAGGGTTGTAGTCCAATGCTCAAACCATTCCACCATGCTGAGTCTTCAGATATTTGTGCCTCATTCTTAATATAATGTATGAAGACCATCCATATAACCCCATTGTTGCTGTTATACAATGTTTATTTGATCATTTACAAAAAATAATCATCAGAATTTTATCCTGAAGGTGTGTTTAGATGACTTTGGTTTTGGTAAACTGGATTTTGGTGTCTCCTCTTCTTTGGAATCTTGATCTTTATTTCCCCCATTTAATTGCGTTCAGTGGAGTTCCATTCTGTTTTTTAGATTGGACCTCTCTAACACAACAGATAAAAGTTACACTAATCTTTAAGTCTTCTATAGCTTAGACTGAAACTTATCAAATATTAAAGACAAATTTCTGAAAATTCCTTGAAAGGGAAAAGCTGTTGTAAAAATAGATATTAAGACTATTAAGCTAGTTTTCACCAATTTTAAAACTAATATTGCTATGAATGCAATTTTTCTGCTTCTTGGCAGCAGGTTGGACTGGATGGCCAACGAGGTCTCTTCCAATGCTATGATTCTAATAAAAACTGGGCATAGTTGTATGATTATAACATTTATACCTGTTAACTATCAACATTGGGATGGGCAGCAGCAGACAGACAGCTGGCATATGTATCTAACGTAATATTTATGGTCTTGTACCTTGTACCTGTGGCCTTTTATGCTGATAAGATTCACATAGACTTCTATTCTCCCCACAGTCCCAATAAATGGAAAAAGCTGGCTCTTCAAAGGGAAAAAAACTATTCAAAATCTTGCTTTATTGGCTTCCTGATGCTAGGAAGCTACTAGGACTAAATTAATATTAAACAGCACTGAAGATAAGCCATTTTGTATCTCACTTTAAGAGAAAGTTGGGGTACAATTTTTATAAACAAATAAATAAAAGCTGTAGCATCAGTAAAGTAACACATTAAATAGTGATTGAATCTGCATGATTAGTCCTCTGTTTTCATTAAAATCTCAAAGTGAAAAAACTCAAGACAACCCAAACTGAGTTGTATCACCTGCAAATACATTTCTAAGTAATTAGACAGCCTGGTATCTCAGACAAAACAGAATTAAAACTAGGTCATTTGTTGCCCAAAGTAACTAGAAACATCAGTCAATGGAGCTAGCAATGCCTTAAATTAGCCTGCGTCAGATATATGGTTTTGATGGGTCTACATGAAACAAGCCTGGCAGCGTAGGTTTAGAGTCTGACATGGTCAGAGCAGAATCTACAGCCGTGAAACTAAGCTATCTGGGTTCTTTTCTTTCTTGCAATTGCATATGTGCCAGCAAATCTGTTCCTGGAAAATGGAAGATTCTTAGAAATGGTGTAAGGTGGGCTGTGAGTAGCTTTGAATGGAGCAGCAGTCAGAAGCAGTGTCTCCCCTTGAATGAACAAAGAAGACATTATTGGTATTAGCATGAAATATTATCTTATTAAAGATACTTTGCTGATGCTAGAAAGGGCAAATGATGTCACGCTGAACATTAGCACACTGTTTATACTCCTTCAAGATTTAATCGTCCATTCACTTATGCCCAAATAGAAGCCGCTATGTCTTGTAAATGTTCTCTTCCTATGCACATGAGTGGATTTTCTTTCCTATGTCTGCATCATAGATTGTTGAGGAGACTTCAGTTCTATTTCTTATCAATTATTTTTATTATTTTTACCTAAAACACAAGCATTAATGAAAAAATGACTGAATATTGTTCAAATATTCAGGTTCTGTCTGCATTGTAGATTACTTCCCTTTCGTCACAGATTGGTTTGCGTTGCTTGTACTACTTTTGCATGGGGCCAATATGGATGAAAATGTTTTCTCAAAACATGTCTTACCTCAGAAACTGGGTTATAATTGGAAAATCACCACAATTCAGAAAACAGTTCTGAACTAGAACACAACTTTATTTATTTATTTATTTATTTTACTGCATTTGTATACCACCTTTCTCAGCCAAAGGCAACTCAGGGCTGTTCAGACTTTTACATGTTCATCTCTGAGGCTTTCAAACACAGAGAATATACACATTTGTTTTGAGAACAAATTATTAACTACAGTCATCCTTCTGCATTTGTGGATTAAGGGGTTGTAAATTTGATTATTCATCAATTACTCTGCTACCATCACAGCTGCTGTCATATGTAGCCAAAATGTGGCCATAGAATCATGCTGGAAAACTTATACATGCCTGAAGAAGTATTTTCATGTTATATAAATATATATATAATGTTTTTTCCACTTTTGTATGGATCCTGCACCCTAACCCCCACAAAGATTGAGTGTTGACTGCATATTAAAGATGGAAAATAAGTGTTCTGTTTCCCTGCTCTTTTGACAGTTTCAAGAAATGAACCTGAAGTCTTTCTTATGATATTCCTTAAGATACCTAACAAGCTAGCTAACTAGGCAGAGCTGGAAGTGAACAATATTATGTTATCATCTAATGACAAACAAGTATTGCACAACGGAGCAGAATCCAGAAGTTACTTTTTAATTACTTCACAGTAGTTGGACTACATTACATTTCTCTGACCTATAGAGTAGCAAACGAAATTGTTGCATCTAGTTTGAGAATGACAGTCAGCACCTTGGTTAACTCTTTTGAAAGTTTGTGCTAAAATCTGTAGTGGATTTACCATTGTTGGGGCTCAGCAGCAAGATGCTGGGAAATTCTTTGAGAACGAGAGGGATGATGGTTTTCCCACTGAGTCCGTGTGTGATCAGACTGAAACGAAGGCTGAATTGCAGGCCTTAAATCAGAGAGAAGTGCCGGTAGTTGCAGCTAAGAAAGAGAATGTTTGCGATTCTATTTTTCTTGGGAATTAGCCTTCAACAGATGGGGAGTTTTCCTGCAATATCAGATTAGGCCTCCGCACAAAGGGAGTGAAGGATAGGTTAATTACGCAGTCAGAAAGACCTGGGTTTCACTGACTTTTCACAAAGTCAATAAAACCCAGGTGTCAAAGGTATGACCACATGTCTTCTTTGTGAGTTCTGAGCTCCTCCTCATTTGTTGGTTTAACTTTTGCAGATTTGACTTTGGGATGAAATTGATTTGAATGTTCTTTCTAGGAATCTCTTTGACCTCTGGTCATAGAATCGTAGAATTATAAAGTTGGAAGAGACCTCATGGGCCATCCAGTCCAACCCCCTGCTAAGAAGCAGGAAAATTGCATTCAAAGCACCCCCAACAGATGGCCATCCAGCCTCTGTTTAAAAGCTTCTAAAGAAGGAGCCTCCACCACACTCCGGGGCAGAGAGTTCCACTGCTGAATGGCTCTCACTGTCAGAAAGTTCTTCCTAATGTTCAGATGGAATCTCCTTTCTTGTAGTTTCAAGCCATTGTTCCGCATCCTAGTCTCCAGAGCAGCACAAAACAATTGTTCACTTTGGGACATTGGTGTCCACTTTGCTCTTGTCTGCTTTGGGAGATTGCTGTTTGCTTTGCTCTTGTCTACTTTGAGGAAGTTTGAGTTAGCTGATTTTGTCTGCTTTTCATTCCTGGTATGTTTGTCTTCATGAAGAGAGAAAAGGAAAGAGAGCAAGAAGGAGGGAGGCTGGAATGAGTACAATATGAAGAAAATGATGCTTCTGCTTCTTCACTTTTTGCTTTGTGCCTTATTTATTTATTTACTTACTTTGCTTGTATAACGCAGTTTCTCAGCCCGTAGGCGACTCAACGCGGTTCGCAACAAGATCAAAAAGTCAGTCAAACAGCATATAGTTTAAAAACCATTAACAGCATAGTATAAAAGTAATAACACATCAATAACAACACATTAACGTCTCGTAACTAGAATCGTGGTCCAATTCATCATCCGTAATTCCGTTCCTATATTCATCATATTCATTGCACTGTTTAACCAAATGCCTGTTCAAACAGCCAGGTTTTTAGTTTTCTTCGGAACACCATTAACATAGGAGCTGATCTAATGTCCTTGCCACAACTTGGTGCTTCTACCATTGATCATTCTTTTTAAATTGTTCCATTTGAATGCATATTTATACATTATTTGTTATTTATAAAATATGTTTTTCTTATTTAAAAACACAAAACTAAAAGTGGGGGGTGGAACAGATTAATTGCATTTCAATGGGAAATTTTGCTTTGAGATAAAAGTGGTTTGAGTTAAGAGCTTGTCACAGAACAGATTAAATTCTTGTCAAGGCAACACTGTATCTTGTTACATAAACAGACAGATAGTGAATTAAGGGATTTCTTTTAGTGTACCATCTCTTGGGAATATTCCTTTTTTGAACTAGAACTACTAGAATATCCTAAACCTGAACTGGGATTTTAGGAGCTATCATCCAAAACAGGAATATTTTCAAATTATGAGAATAAAACACTTCTTCCTGAAATTATGTCATAGCAGTTTAATTTTAATAAAATAATGGCAAACATACTGTTATTTATATAGAAGCAATTGTAACTTTTGTTTTCAGGAATACTGATCAAAGCAAGTTGTGCTACATGATATATACCGACTCTGCAGTTTTATTTATTTATTTTTGAACAGTTAGCAAAGTGAAAGTCTTGCAACCTGATACTAGTTTAAGTGCCGTGACAGAGAGTGAAGAAAGAATAACAGCCTAGCAGAGAGCTATGTCAAGGCATCAGAGCTAAAAGGAGTAATCCAGTTCACTGCATTGTATCATGAGGAGGATGTTAATGTTTCTAGTTTAAAGCTACTGAACCCCAAATATAACTAGCCAATAATTTCTAATTAAATGGTCATGTGCTATATTAGTGAATGGCCAAAAAGGTTTCTGAAAACATTTGTTCAAGAATTTACTCATTATCAGGTAAGAGAATAATCATATGACAACTTCTTGCATGACAGTATGAAATGGCTAGATTCAGACATGGTCATTAATTCAGCAGAAAAAAAGATGTGTGTATATGTTTCAAGGCTATGCAAAAAGTCTTTTAAAACTTAAAAAATGTTGTCTTAAGGATAAAGGGAGGTCTTTGGGATTCATAATTTGTAGTCAGGAAATTATGGTCATACTATTATTTTCTTCTTTTCCAGGTTGACCTGTTAGTTGACAATGAAGCAGAGAAAGATTATCTGTATGATGTGCTTCGAATGTACCATGAGTAAGTTGTAATTTCATATTTGTTATTGTGTATACTCTTGAACCAGCATGGAATTGGGGTGAAAGAAGACATAAAAGGTATTGTTTCTTCCCTTGTCTTGCTCTTAACTAATATAGAATTGGTAAATAAATTATTTGTAATGTCCCTTTAGCCAAATAGTTTGAGCATTAAACACGGAATAAATAGGTTTGTTTATGATACTTCTGCTTTCTACCTTCAGACTTATTCTGAGTTCTATAAAAAAAAGAGAAAGAATTTAACAGATCAGGTTTTTTCTGACTGTTATTTTAGGAAACAAAATTATACTTTGGAATTTTTAAAAAAATAGTCATAACGACAATATCCACTTGCTGATTCTGCTTGAGTAATATCCCTCAAAGCCTATCATGACTATCACTTCATTAAATCAAGACAGCTCTGAAAACATTCTTTATGATTTTAGTACAATATGATCAGTACATTTATAAGAAGCCTGTGGACTTACCTTTCACAATGTTTTATTGTGGTATAAAGTTTCATAGACTAGGACCCTTTCATGAGATACTTCGAATGCCAGCTGAAGTCTGTAGGAGAAGAAACAAATGTCAGGATTTCTAGCAGAGAGGTCTCAGGAGAATGCAATGCAAGAAATACTGGCACTAAAGCATATCTTTATGCAAAATAACAGACTCACACAGCTCTCTTTAGGAAACTGGGGAGATTATCTTTTTTAGCACTATTCCCTTGATATTTTCTTAATACAAGCAAAATAAACAATTGTTATTAACCAAGTATGAATGCAGTCTCTGAAATCAGCAGAACTGCATTGTATTTTTCCCCAGCCAGCAATAATTGAAACAGAACCTGGCCTATATTGTTGTTGTCAGAGGAGAGGAGAGTATTTTTCCACTCTTCATAGGCAAATGGTTCTGCCGGTTATAGTTTCTGAACATATCTTAATTAATAGCAGCTCAGTGGAGTGAAATGTAGACGTTTACAAGTTTCCATGTGGTCTTTGTGTGAAGCTACAGTTTTGCGTGGCCTTGGCTACAAACCTGGCTTGGTTTCACTCTGGACTGTCTAATTGCTTCTCCATTCATAAAGCCCTGCCTGCAGCTTGTGAAATCAGGAAGAATTCAGCTTCATTAATTATTCAAAACTTTGTAGGAGGTACAAACCTAATAGATACCCCAAGTGCAAATCCCCACCTTCTGTGCTAAACTAATGCTGTTATTAATCATTTTTTAAACATTTTTATAAAATATGTGGCTTTTTATGGGATCCAGATATCAGTCAAATCAATTCAATTCCTTTAAACCCTTTTTTTCTAGGAAGATATTTCAAATTCAAAAGTGCCAGATTTGTTTGCGTTTAGAAACAAAATGCATGTATATATATTGCTCTGGTTTACAGTTTCCCTTATTAAGCTTTTCTGTGGCATGTACCATCCCACTCCTTTTGTATTTTATCATTTTCCTTGAAATTGAAAGCTTCATTGAGTAGATACTTCCCTTTTTGTTCATATTTTTATGTAAAATATGATATACAGTACTAATGCCACATCAATCTATCTTTATTTCAGTATCCTGAATGAATGGTGTCCATTTTGATCTCATTTGGTATTTGTTTGTTCTCATAGAATCCACAGTGGTTTTCAGTACTATCAATCTAGGCCTCCTTTTGGACTGCTTCTTTCGAATGTGATGTCCTTTAGTGATTCTGATCCTTTTTGGAGAGGTAGCATAGCACAGGAGACAACCTGAAAATTACCAACCCCAGGCCACGGAGCTGAGCAGGAGTCTTCCAGAATAATGATGATGATGATGATGATGATGATGATGATGATGATGATGATGATGATAGCAACAACACCTTATTTATATTCCACCCTATCTCCCCAAGGGGACTCAGGGCAGATCACAGTACACATACACAGCAAATGTTCAATGAATGCTGTTTTTGGATAGAAAATACAGAGACAGACAGAACAGAAAGGAAGTATGTTGTGCTGATGTCCAGCTTTTTGGTGCCTTGGAAGGTTTTGCTCAAATCCATCCACGGGGGGTGCAGTCACTACATCCTCTATGACAAAGAACCATCAGGGCTTCATCCTTCCTTTTGGTCGCCGGGCATTTTCTGGTATTTTTTTCTTTATGGTGTCATAAAATACTTCCCCAACTTGTTTTAGCAGTACCTAATTTATCTAATTACAGCTCAACCTGTTTTCAAACTGCTTAGGTCAACAGTAAGCTGGGCTGACAGTCAGCAGCTCATGCCAACCCAGGGCTTTGAACTGGCAACCTTTCAGTTGGTAGATCTTATCACAGCTGGTGATTTACCATCTGTGCTAAAGCCTGGCCCAGAACCTCTTTTTGGTTTTGCCCTTCCATGAAGGAAGGAGGCCACTGTAAAATAAAAACTGAATATAGGCTATTATGAGAGAGCCCTGTGCAGATCTTGCCCCCAACCCATCTGGCTTTTTCAGGCCTCCAGACCCAAGTGCAGAAACTGGAATCAGGGGCAGTTTCAACCACCCTGACTACCACCATCCTCCATAGGTTCAGATCTCAACTTCAAGGGATTTTTAAAAAAACTAATCTTGAAACAATACAACTGTGCTCCAATATTATTTTAAATATATACCTGTCTTACTTAAACTTCTCTATTGTATTGTATCTTAATTAAGGAAAGGTAAATGTTGTGTGTATTACTGGCCACTTCACTTCCCGGTGTCCTCTTACATGGCCAACATACGTCCTCTCTTTGCTTATCAACTCCACAAAAATGGCTGATTACTCCCACCATGGCAGTGAATCCATTCTGAGTTTTAAGTGCTATCCAAGGTACTGAACCTATGTCAATGGCAGAGTCTAGCAGACTGAACTAAAAACTCACGTGGATTTATTACCAACTCACTTAGAAGCCACAACCTACAACTGCTACTCTAGTGCAATTTTATCCTACAAATATAAGGTCTATCTAAGATACTGACATAGTGAATTAAATCTACATAAATGTGGAGCACCTTTATCTCTAGGTTGAGATGCAAAGTGGTTCATGGCATTAAGGAGCAATGCAATTAATCATCTGCAACATACAAATATGAAAATAGAATTAAACATTAATCAATTAAAATCTCTTAAAACACTTATAAACTATTAAAATAATCAACATGCTAAAAACATAGGCTCCAATCTGTAGTATAAAAATATAGCCATGCAGTTTACCCATTCTTGATTAAAACATATGATTTATGTACATAATTCTTTTTTGATTTACATTTGTTTGGTGTATTTTGGAAATAAAAATACTCTGAGGTGGGAACATCTTATTCAAAAGCCAAATACATTAAATATATTGTCAACTGTAGGTCGCTTATAGCTCTTTGATCTTACTTTGTAGATCCATGAATCTTCCAGTGTTGGTGGGAGATCTGAAGTATGTAATCAATGAACCAAGTCGACTACCATTGTTTGAGGCCATCCGTCCTCTTATCCCATTAAAGCATCAAGTGGAGTATGATCAACTAACACCTAAACGATCTCGGTAGGTTTGGGCAATGTTGCTCTTTGCATATGGACCAAAATGACTATCAAACTCATGTTTTTTCATATATTTTTCTGGTGATTAACTGTTCTTTTTTCCCTTTCTTTATAATAATAAATGGGAAGCCGATTACATTCTTGGACCCAAAATCTTTGTTTATTAAAAGATTGGTAATCTGCATTGTATTTGAATGAGGTTTATAGAGGCTGAGTAGACTGCTGCAAAGTTTTCAACTGGGGGAGGGGGTCTTGTACGATGTTGTTCTCATTGTTTTATATATACCTAGCCTTTCCCCCCAAAACTAGAGCTAAATATTTACTTTTTTATTTATTTACTTTGTTTTTATCCCATCCAAGGGCTCTAAAGTCAATCTTTACCTGCTGCACAGCAAACATGAAAACAAAAATATATATATTTCCAAACACAACAGCAGTTGAATTTCACCTGGTGAAGGAATAAGTAGTAGTCCTGCATAAGTCGAGCCCAGAAAGAAGGGTTTTATGAGCAACTTCAAGTTTGGACAAAGTACAGCCCTCAAAGCTGTTTAGCATTCTTTTGCCCTTCCAGGCTATCCAGCCTAACTTTTTCTGTCTTTTTTATATTTTGTTTTATTTGGATCATACAAATAGAATATAGCATATCTACATGTTTAGAAAGCAACAATAATGTAAGTGTGTGTGAAAGGAAATAATCCATATATATTTGTCCCCTTCCAGTGTCGCCTATTATCTACACCTTATTAATTCCATACTTGTCTCCTATTTATATCCATCCGTTTTCCACTGTTTTGCCCCTCCCCTCTCCCTTTCACCCCCCCCCCCTTGGAAGAGTTGTACATTTTCTTTATCATTCATTCTATCTGTTTGATCATAAGGATAGTCTGGTTCAATTCCTTGTATTATCTGTTGCCCTTTACCTTGGCTGTCAGAACTGAGAACAGCCTACCTTTTTCTGGCTGGAAAATAAAGATGAATTGCCTCTAGGAATTGGCAAGTTTTCTTTTAACAAGTGACGGAAACTACCCCAGCACTATCTATCTCCAAAAACTCATTTTTCCAAACTAGAAGTGGGCGCTTTGAGTCATTTCTGGATTTGATTGACAATTTTGGCTGTTTGTGAAGCCTACAGAGAATCCCAGAATCACATAGTTGACTCTTGGACTCACCCAGCCTCTTGATCATATTACATTAAAAAACATTTTTGAAACAACTTTTGTGGATCTCTTGAAGCTGTCTGCACTTTTTATACCCCTGACATATAAGAATGTTTAAGTTGCAATCATAAATACATTTTAAAAACAAATTTTGCTACAATTAATACATCTAAGGTTGATATATTATTAATGTACTGAGGTGTCACAACAGATTTTCTTTTTCCTCCTTTTACAGAAAACTGAAAGAGGTGAGGTTGGATCGGCTACATCCCGAAGGCCTTGGAATAAGTGTGCGAGGAGGTGTTGAATTTTCTTGTGGCCTATTTATTTCACAACTGATAAAAGGTGGGCAAGCAGACAGTGTTGGACTTCAGGTAAGAATGTCATTCTGGCATATATAATAAAACACACCCAAAGGATGCAATCCTCCATGTCTTAATGTAGCTACTTTGAGCCACTCACCCCATCCCCCAGACCTACTGAAAGGTAGTAGTTCTGGGGTGGATATTAATCAAAGGAATGAATAAATATGCATCAACAGTAGAAACAAAACTGATTTTGAACCAATAAAAGATTATGAAGTTGGAAGTGGCTTTAAAAAGCATTATCTTGACATAACTTACTGGCTTGGGTAAGGAATATGTTAAGGGACAATATAAAGTCAATGTAACAAAAATGGTTTTGATAGCAATTAACAATTCAAAAACTGTTTTTAGTCTTGCTTTACAGTCCCAACTGGGTTCTAATTGTTACTATACTGTATCTACTAGACATAGTCTACATAAATATCAAAAGGAAAATAGTACACATGTCAAATGTATATACACAACACAACTGTCAGGATTATATACATAACACAACAAGAAGTAATCCCGGGTACAATATCCTTGTTTCGGGGATAAAGTCAAACCATTTATGTGTGTTCCGTGGTCTATGCCATGCTATAAAATATAGGGCTGCTAACACTCTTTTTAAACCCTTGCCCTTTGATCACATTGTAGAAAATGGTCTATTCTGGGGTATCTTTTGTCTTTTCAGTCAAAAGGGCAGTTATCAGGTCTCTAGATCTAGGCATGAAGCAGTGCAACTGTTGCTAAACAGGGCCAGGTGTCAGTTCCTGCTGTGGCTTTTTAAAAAACCATATCAGAAGTGACTTGAGAATATACTGCAAGTCACTGGTGGTTGAGAGAATTGGCCAGATGTGTTACCATCCTGTGGGAGGCTTCTCTCATGTCACTGATTGGGAAGCTGGGGCTGACAGATGGGAGCTCACCCCATCTCACAGATACGAACTGCCAACCTTCAGGTCTTCAGGTCAGCAGTTTTGCTGGCACAAGGTTTAACCCATTGCACCAGCATGCTGTGGCTACTATATTGCCAATTGGATGTCTTCTATTCTCATTTTACAATGTCAAGCTGTCTTGGGGCATCATTGTACCTTGTGTTGTTACACAAACCTTTGGGTGTCTTCCGTTAAGAATTCACACAGCTGAAACTGTGGTCATGGATTCTGCAGTTACATGATTCGTAATGTAAATATCAGTGCACAATAGTCACATACACTTCTTCTTTCTCATGTTTTGAAAAACATGTACCGCATAAGTTAACCATTCAACAGACATATTTAAGAAGTTACTAAAAGGAAGAGGAAGAGGAGGAGAATAAGCTGAATCCATGTTTAGACATAAGGCGGCATATACAAGTTGAACATCCCTTATCTGAATACTCAAATACTCAAAAATTCTAAATTGTCCCCATGGTGACTGAGATGATGACACCTTTGATTTCTGATGGTTCAGTGTACAAAAGCTTTGTTGCATGCACAAAATTATTAAAATTATTTTATAAAATTACCTTCGGTCTATGTGCATAATGTGCATATGAAATATAAACAAATTTCATGTTTAGACTTGGGTCTCATCTTCAATATAGTGCATTATGTACATCTATGCAAACACAGGTAATCCAAAATTGAAAACACTTCTGTTCCCAACATTTTGGATAAGATAATCAGTTTATATTAACAAACAACACTTTCCTAATATATTATTGTAAATGTTATAATATATTAATCCAACTGTGCCGATGGAACAACTACGAATTAACAGCTCCCTGCCTTGGTTTGTTGATATGCTCCATTAAAGGGATCAGTTTAAGGTACATTCATAATAATCTGTACTAGACACTTTCTAAAACTTTCTAAACTCAGTGAATACAGGGAATTGACAGGCAGCTCATTGTTCTAAATTGCTGTCTCATGATAAAGCCAAATGCTCCTGAAATTTCACCCATCTACATTATTTCACTAACTCTCCACACATTTTCTAAGCTGGAAAAAATGTTGCTTTAGAAAGACATAATGATCTTCTATCATAATATCAGTTTCTGACTCCCTTTTTCTATACCATTTTGATTCATCTTTGTGCAGATTATGTGAAGCAAGTGGCTTTAGTGCCACTTAAAGTAAGTGTGTGCTTATGCAATCAAGATGGGAAACTGAAACGTTTGTGGCAATGACCTATTTTCTTGTGATTTTTCATTTTTTCTGAATGGATAGTTAAATACATCCTTTTCATGTATTTCATCTGTCTTTTTTGTTGTTACTCTCCCAGATATTCATATCTTTGGGGATTCAGTTAACTAAAAAAGGCTTAAGGTTGTGAATAATAGACGTAACGGGGAATACAAAAAAAAAGGAGAAACATTTGAAACCGCTGTGATTCTGCAGCTTATATTCTAGTTAGTAAAATAAGATCTTGTTTTCAAAATGCTGGAAGAAAAGGATACATGAAAAGGGTATTTTCCTCCTAATTTAGCCCATCTCTTTAAACAGTCCTTTAAATAATGCTTTAATGGTAATACACTAGCGCTGAGTGTGTATAAGCTGTCAATTGAACATATTTAGGACTTGATAGACAAACTAGCAAATGCTTTTTCCATAAAGCCCACAGTTTGCTAATAATGCCTTTTGGAAACAAAGACCAGTTCAGTTTTATTTTTCATTTCTGTTAATGGTAACAACAAATGGTATTACTAAGCTTATATATTTGTAGAGAGCAAAATAAATTCCATTTTGAGGAGAACATTTTCAACTTTTGACTAGTGTGAAGAAAACAGACATAAAATCATTTATTTGGGAAGGAAGGAGAGTTGCTCCTGTGTACTCAGACCTACAGCCAATAGATTATTTGTGCTCAGTCCATGGTAGGAGGTCAGATTTGTGTTTGTATAGCAAGTGATATTTATATATGGACAAGATCAAAATGAACCAAAATCAGTGTTCAAGTCAGTCCTGTGAGCGTGACCATTACTTCCAGTGCTCGAAACACAGTTGCATCAAAACCAAGAAGCTGGAAGCTTCTGCTGCGAACCAAAGTTGCATCACTTCCTATTGACATTTTGGGAGATATTTGGATGGAAACCGAAGTATTTTGTGGTACGATATTTGGTGTATTTGCACATATAGGAGGTCTTTCTGTGGGGTCTGGGTGCAAATCAATTAAAAACCACACCAACAAATTAAAAATGGGATTGAGAGGCTTTGAAGGATTGGTGTAGATCTTGCAGCCTACAGGCTGCACTTTCTCCACCCATAATCGGTTTACTTGAGGGTAACCCCCTTGTTCCCCTGATACAATCTTCCCAAACAGAACCTGAACTTACTTCACCCCAAAAGCAATTATATTAAATCATCTCCCACCGAAAGGAAAAGGGGGCCACTTCAGTCCTTCTGGACCATCACCTCACCTTCTGTGTTGTCAATCTCCCCACCTTCCTTTTAGTCACAGGGATGTCTCTATTGATATCAGAATGGGACACCCATATAGGCCAGAAACCCACATCTCTGTGGTTGGCTAGAAGTGGTGGCAACATGAGCACAACCCATCACTTTTCCCCATGCCGATGTGCAGTCTGAATCAGACCTGATCCAGCTGTTCAAATCAGACACCACAGTTGTCAATACTTGTCCCAAAGCTGGGATATACCAGAGTTTCAAGTAAACTCAGGAGCATCCCCCAACTTTGCCTGAAGTGGGGCAAAGCCAGTTAAACTTGGGATAATCCACAATACTCAGAAGGAGCACAGAAGGGTCATATAGACATCTAGGAATCAATTCAGGGTGAGTCACAATTTTTTGCCCATGTAGATTCACTCCCTAGTTATATATTTATGTAGATGTATATGGCCTGTTTGATTCTCTTTTGGCAGATAAACATAGGGCCATTCCACACAGCTGAATAAAATACCACATCTGTTTTGAACTGTGATATATGGCAGTGTGTACTGAGATATCCCAGGTCAAAGCAAATATTGTGGGATTTTCTGCCTTGATATTCTGGGATATGGCTGTGTGGAAGGGCCCTGGGATATATGGCTGTATGGAATCAGATATTCCAGTTCAAAGCAGATATTGTGTGTTATTTTGACTTGATATTCTAGATTATATGGCTATGTGGAAGGGACCATCATTATAGTAAAATCAGGATTGGTACATACATCTAACTGCTTCCAATGAAATGTGTTCTCTCTAGGAATTTTCTAGTTCCTCTGGGTGATTCAATGGTATGTATGAACCACATGTTAACATAAAGTGGCACTGGAGGACTAGAAAAAATGTTATAGAAGTACTCCATGTTGACTTCCAGCTGACGTCAGTCATTTCAGTGTGTTTCGGTGTTATCCACAGTTTCCTGTTTCCACAATAGGCTCATGAACTTATTCCCCACAGATAGGGGAGAGAGGGGGAGAATCATCATGTACACTTACATGATACATTATCTGCTGGGAACATTTCAGAACACCAAAAATATTATTTCCAAAAATAACCAAAAATATGGATTGGGAAAATGAGGAGAAGCTGTGAACTATGAGCAGAAAGAGATTTGTGGAAGTATTTTTTTTTCAAGTCTTTACCTCATGAAGCTCACTCATTGATTTCAATCTTTAACAGTATTAATTTGAGGAAAATTCAGATTAGCAGTAATGGTGCAGATCTGTGTTGAAAATTGAGTACAAGTGAAGAGGATACTTCAGTGGCAGTTACAATTTTGCAATTTAAAAATCTGGCCAGTAGGTGGAGGAAGCACATCATTGCTAATACCAGTGTAGACAATGATTTGTCTGATTAAGAAAGTATGGCCTGAAAATAGTGTTGTTCATCTACATGAATGTCTCTTTTGCGGTGTATACACACATACAAACTGGACTTTTGTGCCACTAAAAGTGACATGATATAAATAAAATTAATTTTAAGAAAATTAATATGCAAAAGAGATATGTTTTTTTAATACTGGTAGCTGTGGACAAGTCTACATAGGGACCACCAAACGCAGCACCCAAACACGAACCAAGAAACATGAAAGGCACTGCAGAC